CGGATCATCAGCAATGCAAGGCACCTGCCCACCCGAAACGAACTGCTCAGCGTCCACGACGCTCACGGCATCCACGGCATAAGTATGCCTGAACTTTTCATGGTTCAACGAGGAATGCTAAACCACGCGAAAACTGGATTGTGTGGACGTGTACACTCACACTGAAAAATACAGCGGGGTGGGCTGCAGGCTTGAGATGCAAGCTCTACGGTTCAGGGTAAGAGGCTTCAGATGTCTAGGACGACCCATTCGGCACCTGACCAAGCAGCTGCTCTTACCAGGCGACGGACTTGTGAAGGAGTTTCAGTGCTGCGTCCCTAACTGACGTCATGACGCGGACCCTCGCAAAACAAAGGCCTGAAACAACTGGGATGTTGCTTCCGGTGGTTTTTTCTGATGTGGGCCCCACTACCCCAAAGGTCGAAACCAACAGACCCCAAATTACGAGTCTTCTGAAGCTCTCCTAGGGGACCAAGCGCTCTTCGTGTTCTCCGAAAGTGCCAGGAGAGCCTGAAATCAACAACGTTCAAGCCCACACCTTACCAAAGATAAACGGATAGGCCCCGGCTTAAGGTATAGACTATACCTTAAGCCGGAATAACCTACCTTTTTAGGGTTCCTTATTATGATTTCCTTATATGAGTCCTTAAAAAGGTAGGTTATTCCGGCTTAAGGTAGAACCACAAGCCTCCCTCGAAAACAAAGAAAAATGCCAAGCCCTTGCGAACATCTGCAAGCCCTGAGCAGCAATGCCATTCAAGCCCATTGACAGCGCGTGTCTAAACCTCAAACCCTAAAACTCCATACTCTAAATCGTACACCGCGCCCGAGACACTGAAGATCAACCTTGAAGAAGTAAAAACCCTGAACCTCAAAACGGCTCAAGATGCCAAGCCTCGTAAACATGAGGTGCGTGCCTTTGTCTACCTGGCTCGCGGTCTACAAAGTTTAAGGATTTTGACCGTCCGGCTTTTTCGTGTCTAGGTTCAGGGTTTGTGCATGTCCTCTGAATCTGACAGGGTTTACAAAGGGTGTACGTCGCGTCGTTTACGGCACGGTCTCTGCGAGGTTTGAATGGGCATGCAAGAGGCTCTCGAGGCTGCTGCAAAAGTTCTCGAATCTCTCTTCGCAATGGCCGACAGGGTAAGAATCTAGAACACTAGGATGTGTCGAGAAGGACTTGGTCGAATGAGTTCGGCCACTAGTGCAGATCTTCTTTGCACACCTGGATCTGGAAAGCTTGTGATCTGTCGACTGCTGCCTTCTGCGGAAATGTAGAAGGATTCTGGGCTTTTCGGTGCAGGGTTTAGGGTGGTTCTAGGGGCACAGGGCTTAGGTTTCAGGGCTTAGGGGCGTAGATGCGCAGCACGTGGTATCCTCAGCAATCGGCGTTTTAGGGTACAGAGCATTGGGGCATTAGAGCAAGAAGAACCTTGGGCGGTCAACTCTCAACCATAGAACCCCAACACGACATCCATACTGAGACTAAACCCTCCAAGCCCCAGAACCCTAAACCCAAAGCCCAAGATCACTAAACTTGCCCTAAACCCAAACTCTGAAACCATACGGAACCCGAAGCCCCTAAACACGCACCCAAAAGCCCGACGCATCCATGCCGTCACTGTTTCACGTCTCCAAGCCGCGCCTTCCAAAATCGGACAGACTTGTCGGCGCCCCCGGAGAGTGGCTTGCCCCTGAAACCAGTACCAGGGTACTTAGGGGCCTTGATAATTAGAGTAGGGCTTTGGGGCTGTCGACGAAGAGCGAAACGAAGGACGACGGGTGCATCCTCAGAGAATGTGTATAGACATGTGTAAAGAATGAATGGAATTTACAACTTGCTGCAAATAGATTGCAGAAGTCGAAGCATTGCCTCGTAGCCTTGGGACCAGGAGTCCAAAGTTTTGGGGCCCATTAGACTATCATTAAAATAAGGAATCCCCAAAATAGCATAGGTAATTATTTAGGCCGCTATAGTAATCGCAATGGTAATGGTCGTCGAAGTAGGAATAGTCGGGGTAATCGTGGTAGCCATGAGGCAACGATAGTGCTTTAACCGAGTTTCGGTAGTAAGCACCCGGGGTCAGGTTCTTGAACCTCGAAGTCTGGCGATTGGAAGCCGAAACCGGTTTCAAGATTGTTGGGCATGAGATGCCGCAACTAATCTCCTCTATACTGAAACCACGTTCGGCGTTTTGCTTCGGGTTGAAGCATGAGATCTTGGACTTGCCGGTGCAGGATTTCGGGGTTTTGGCTTCATCTGCGTGGGAGTGAGAGGGCCGAGCTGGGCACCGAGTTCCTATGACGGAATCTTGTACCCTGTGAAATGAACTCCATGGGAGTTTTCGAAAATAGGGGAGACCCTAATATTGTAGGATCCTTTGTATAAGGACACCAAAATGTGCTACCCCTACTTTTCGGAAACTCCCGTATCTACGGAACGCTGAGCTTAAGTGGAATCTCCTCGACCCTCGGATCAGGGGTTGAATTGGCTTCGGGCCCTAAACCCTAAACCCTAAACCCCTTCGGGCTTTCGGGGGTAGCGCTTCAGGCTTTAACCCGCTCCTCAACTTCGCCAAACCCGGCTTGGAGGCTCTTCTTGTAGGGTTTTGCGGTTAAGGGCTTTAGTCATCCCAACTTACGAAGTATCAGCGGGTCCAACTGGAGCCATCTTAGAAACAAAATTCGGATATACTCGTACCTTCAAGGTCCCAGTTGGATTATTCGGCAATGCATGATGGGAACTGTTGAGGGGGGTATGCTATACGCTACATAGTTTACGGGCTGTTGCGTGTTCAGATCCCCATATGAAGGTGTGGGTTTGGATTTTCGACTTACAATCAGCCAGCCGGGTCTTGTTCGGGTTCTGATAGGGTCTACGCAGCTTAACGTGGGAGTTTCCGAAAATGGGGGACCCTAATATAGTACCCTAAATCGTAGGATCCTTATTATAAAGACCCCAAATAAGGTACCCCTAATTTTCGGAAACCCCCATGTGTACCCATTGACGGGAACTCCTTGCACCCCGAAGTCGTGGAGTCTCCCTAGAGCCTGCCTCTTAGCTGCTGAATTCATATCGCCCCAAAAAGTGTACACTTTTAGGTTTATAGTGGGTGATATTATCCCAAAAAGTGTACACTTTTAGGTTTATAGTGCGTGATATTATCCCAAAAAGTGTAAAGTGTACCCACTCACCTACTGAGGCCTTCTCTTGACAGCTTAGGGATCAAGGCTCAAAGGTTCAAAGTTCATAGGCTCCGGGTACAGGGCTCGGAGCTTCAAAGGTTTAGGGTTTGCAAGCTCCGGGTTCAGAAGTCTTCGATTTCTGAAACAACGAACTTGGGCCCGTGCTTGACGAGGAGGTCCAGCGAGGTCACTGCATCGACATGGCCCAGTAAGGTTTCCATACACCTGCTCATGCTGCAAGACCACGAAAATGCCCCCGAAACTCACTCGGACCGAAATTCGGCAGAGAAGAGAGTCCACCTTCAGCTGCAAACTTTAAAGCCTCGACATCCTAGACTCCATCCCAAGGACTTGCAACCCTGCGAACAGGGAACCTTCGCGTCTTGAGGTCCCAGATCTTCAGGGACTTGTCCGCGGAGGCTGTGTAAAACTGCCAAGCGCCGAGATGTTGTGGCTTGGCATTTAGCGTCTACGGGTATCAGGGTCGTTCGGCGTTGTCTCGAGATGCAGGCCTTGGGCACGAGGGTTCCGTGGCCTACCGTGCGAAACCGGCTTCTACCGACGCGACCGGCACAAAGCCTATTCTATGCCTTCTGTCCACTGGGATTTGAATCTGGCCTCCCTGGGGGTCTGAGGTCTTGTCTTATCTTTGAGTCGCTGTTGCTTCGGCGGGAAGCCTGCCATGCAAGGGGCCGGGACAGCTTTGCGCGTCGGGCTCCGGCTTTCGAGCATGATCTCCCCAACTCCGGGTTTTTGACATCGTGTGAAACACTAGGGTCTAGGGGTTAGGGTTTAGGGTGACGAAGCCAAAAGGGCACTACATTAATGTAGAGCCCCAAATGGGAGTTTCCGAAAATAGGGGTACCTTATTTGGGGTCCTTATAATAAGAATCTTAGCATTTAGGGCACTATATTAGGGTCCCCTATTTTGGGGAACTCCCCACAGCATCTTTGACGAAGCCGAAGCTGCTGCTGCACTTCGGAGCTCTACCTGTCGTTTTCCTGAGGGGCTTTGCGACTTCCAACTGCATCCGGACGCACCACCTAAAGGGAACTCCAGAAAGTTGGAATATGGATTAATGGTAGGATATCCTATAATTTATCATAGAAGGGTTAGGATAATCATATTCCAACTTTCTGGCTTCTACTGTACATGGGTGGTTGTCAAAATTAGGGTCGCTGTTTGGGTACCCTAAATATTAGGTGCCGTATTATATTAAGCACCCAAAAAGGGACCCTCATTTTGACACAACCACCCACATGGTAGCACGCTTTCACAAGGATCCTGACTAATTTCTCAGCAGAAATAATTGGACACCCCACGATCCTCTCTAAGACTCTAGCGAAGAGATATGCCTAGAGAATAGTAACAGTAATATCAGAAAAGGAGCCAGAAAAATACACCCCTTGAAACCAATTAATTCTGATGCCAGTAGCAGCACTAGCAATCCCAAATAAGCAGAAAAGACTCCACAATCTGGAGGATATGAGAGACGCTGAGCTGTTGCCACCTTACAGTTAATATTGTCGGCGTTCCTGGATGTTCACGGTTGACCCCAAACCCTTAACTTCTGATTACGGGCTGCATAAGGCGTAGTTATCGCTTCAGGTTTCAGATGTTTATCAGTCACCGCCACCAGTGTGGAACAGGAGTCTGGCCCCATTCTATGCCCGCTTCCAGAACCCCCATTGACAACTCCTCCGCCGGCATCAATTCCTAATCGTATTGACTGCTAGGAAGTCTGGAGAAACATCTCTAAAACGTCGTGATCGCTCTTTCGTCTCCTGCGTCGCCATCCGATCTGTCTGTTGCG